ACTTCCAATAGCAGCTCTGAATGACTAACACTGTTTTGAAGGGAACTGTTTTTCCATGGCTCACTGGATCACTGCTAACTAGCAATTATGTTGACACAGCTGGATGATGCATCAACCATCTGTGAACACTATATATAATGATAATGCCAAGTTATGTTCCATTTTTCCACCTAGTGTAGGAGGTTTTGAGAAAAGATAAAACAATTAAATTGTTGTGGTAAATAAGTTAACATTGAAATTCAGTACACCAAATTTCATCCCTCACCTCCAGGCCATTTTTGTCATCTACTTCAGAATTTATTGGTTCTTCCACAAGCTAAAAAGACAGAATACAGTAAAGAGTATAATTCCTGTCTTGTAATAAAAATAACCCAACCAAACAAAAACAAACACTTGAATATAAAACATAAGATTTACCTGTTCCTGCCTTGTCTCCTTCAAGATTTTCGAATGTTCTCCATTTGTCATTGCATCCAATATATTGTCAGCCATTTTATACACATATTCATCAGATTTAGCGAGGAACTCTGATAGACTGTATGTACATGTAAGAAAAAAGGAAAAATCACTGTTATTTTGTGTGAACTAAAAGGAAAAAAACAGAAGAACTACTTTGTTAGAGTAGTACAATGAGAAGTCAGTAAACACAATGAAGCCACCGCTGCACCTCCTACACGCTGTCACAAAGACACTGCGAACTATAATAATACCTTTTACACATATTCACACTAAGCTCAAAGCCACTAATGTGTGGAAACAAAAAACATTGATTTTGAATTATCATCCACCCAGTATACAAAACATCTGCAAATGTCTGTCTAGTCCATCACACAACATCTGGCAAGTAATCATTGTGGAATGTCTTAAATGACGTCTAGGGTGGGTGCCACAGTGGTCACATACCTGTCTGAGCCCTGCAGACTGGACTCCTCTCCATAGAAGGAGTAGATGAGGTCAGAATCATCTTTACTGATGTTAGCAAAACTGGAGTCATATGTGGGCGCAAAGGAGGTAAATGGCCCATAGTTCATGTAGGACACTGAAAATATGTTATCACAGGTCATTAGCACTATAGATGAAATAACAATTTCATCTGCAATTACTGTAGGAGGAAATGCAGCAACCTGGAGTGATTCTATTCCTTTTGTCCTCTCTGAAGCCCTGCAAACAGTTGACTCCACTTTGTAACCGGTTAGACATCATGCCCAGCTTGACAGGGCAGTAACCCACATCTTTAAAAACAAAAATGAACAATATCTGTGTTAAATATTGTCTATTGTCTTGAATGTTTTAGAAAAAAGGACCTCTTACCACCCACTGCTGGATCAGCAGGGTTCAGAATAGCCAAGGTAGTGGAACCATCAGTCTTTTGACGAGCAAACTCCAACTACAGAAGAAATATGACACATGTCTGTATTCTGATTGGATTGAATGATTCCCTTAATCGTTTGACAAGAATTGGACTAATACATGATTTTAAATAAATAAATATCATACTAAAAAAGATAATGCTTGGCTTTTAGACTCTTCTTGAGAATTTCATTCTAATAATAGAGACGCCGACTTGTCCCTTTGTATTTTCTGGTAACTTGTCATGCATTGTTTGCACCAGACATTTAACTACAATTTAGGTAGATTACAAAATTTTGGATATAAAAAGAACTTTGTGAAGTGGTATTGTTATAAAAAAGTTTGAGTATCACTGATCTGGGGAAGTACTACTATGGTGAACTCTGAACTTTGTGTAATTTTTCTTTCTCATGTCATTAGAGAAATCAAATTATCTTCAAGGCTATGCTTTCATTATTTCTGCTCATGTATATCTAGTTGCATAACATCTTTGCTCTGCACTTAGAGGGAAAAAGACAAATTAATAAAGCAATATAGTGGCTTACATCACATTGCAGCACTCGGTTTGAGAGCTTTCCGCCAGATTCTTCAATGACCTTGCGGATTTCCTCTAGCTCTTTCTCTGCCTTTGCAGAGTCCTCTTTTGAATCCTTGTCGTGTCTGCAGTGAAAACACATTTAAAAACAAGAAAAAATAATATTGATAATTACTGAGTTGCTAACTACTGTAGGAAGAGATATAACGCCTACGCATGACTTTATTTCTTTATTAAGAAACTACCTGTAAGCATTTCACTGACGTCAATAAGCACAATTCAACTTGTGAACCAGTGTCCTTTATAGAGACAGAAGGTTGAAGATTATTGAATACAAAAGTAGAGAGAAGAGGCATCTCTAGGCCATTTCTCTTTTTTATGTCCTGGTTTTTGTTATATCACTGGGAAACAGCACAGCAGTTAGAAAAGTGCACTGTGAGAGCAGCAAACAAGACCCAGCACGCTCATTGGCATTCCTTACATTCTAAAGCGTCACTGAAAAAAGTGGTTTTGGTGAATCAGTGAACACTGTAATGACATGAATATTAAATGATGTAAAAAGTAGATTTACTAAATGCTGACTATGTAAAATTTCAAAGTTTACTGCATTGGCCATTTAGTATTACTAATTATAGTAATGATGACAAAATACAGAACAAAAGCTTTTAAGCTATTGTTACTGTAGTGGGGAATGTATAAATACATCTCTCTCAAAAATACACATTCCCATTGTATTTTAAAACTTCGTAACAAAAAATCACCACCCGTGCTGTCAGGTCTTAAGTGAATTCTGTGTCATAATAAACAACCTGGGAGTGCTTGGAGCCTGGGAGCTCTCGCTGCTGTCTGTGGTCATAGCTCCCTCTCTGCTCGGGTCTAATCCTGTGGGTTCATCACACTTCCCTGTGTGTTTGGCAGCAGGGTCAAGACCAGACATAAACTCAATGCTTTGCTTCAGGCTCTGCAGTCGCTCCTGTAGAAAACCAAGACATTTTATTTTTACTCCAGGCTCCTAAAAGCTACATGTCAAAAGGCTGCGTGGAGTGAAAATAACAGGTTAGTCTTCGTGTAGGACTGTGCAGCATGAGCCAATGCTTTATACTGATGTGAAGCTCTCTACTGCCACTCCGTGTTCTTTAATGGATAATGCAACTCCAAGGGCAAACATAAACAATACATAATGATTATGTACGTTCTTGCACAAAAGGCAGGTAAAAAATTGATAAAGAGAAATATGTTAATAAAAACTCAACTAAGTCAATCTATGACAGTAGGAATACAGCATTAATAATCTATAGTAAATATAAAATTGCGTTTTAAAATAACAGTTGTTGAATGTTTGGATGATGTAGCTCTGATTGCCAAGATAATGCGTAAACTTTTATTTTTAATTAAATTTTTATTTTTGGCTAGTAGGTGATAATTGTCTTTTTTGAATTTAGTACCACTAACACCATGACCTGTTTCTTAACCTAACATTTTTCTAAACTGCATCACTTCGGATGACCAATCATACAAGACTGTCACTCTGCATCCACCTCTGTAGCATTAATCAAATGTGATTAATTATTCTTTACTTGACTTAGGATCTTCATTCCAGAGGATAACAGCTTCCGTGCAGCTCTGTGGTAAATTGTCTCAGGTTTGTTGTAAATCATGGCATTTTCGCACATAGACTTGAAATCCACCTATAAAAAATGAAAAGTATTCAGCATATCCACCAAACAGTCTGGAAAATTGCTCCAGTCTCATTACTTGTAAATACCTTGAGTTCATCTAGTGATTGGTAGTGCTCTTTCTTTACTTTCTCTTTCATTGTGCTGAAATCCATAGGCCGTTTGATAATAGTCGAGTATCCAGGTGCAATAAGGTCTGTGACAGGAAATGAGAAAAATGCACTGGGGTCTTTCCTAGAAAAACACACACACAATAATAAGTCTCATCCTACTTAATTCCTGTTTAATATTGTCAAAATGGGAAAAATGAAATACCTTTGAAGCTGTCTGAGAAGTTGGTTCAAGGCTTCCTGTAGAGGAGTCTGCTCTTTCTCAGCTAAAGCAGTGAAGAAAAAAGTGAAAATTAAAACAGAATGATAGCAGATAATGGTAAAAAAATCTGTGTTTCTTACAGGATTATGCAGACCCTTTGGTGTTATAAGCAATCTATTAATCAATTTTATTCATTAATAGAAAAAGCACTAATTACTGAGCGATAAAGTTACTTCTATTTTCAACAAACATAAAAAACATTTTGTTTCACTTGTATTTATGGGTGCAAATGACTGTAAGGAGCCACCATTCTCTTCAATTAATGGGAAACGCTGAGTTACCTTCTAGTTTATCCAGTTCGGAGCGTATTGGAGTTCTGCATTGTTCTGAGTCTTCGTCTCCATCTCCATCATGTACTTTTCTCTTCTTTGCCATCTGACACAAAATATATTTATATTTTTCAACATCAGAGAAAAAAAATAATAAACGCCCTTTTTAACAGTCGTGGTGTACCTTTTTCTTCCCCTTATCGTCTGGTGAACCAAAGCCCCTGTCCTTGTCCTTCTTCTTTTCTTCTTCTTATCCTTGTTGGGCTTGTCGTTGTCAGTGGACTGATCATCGTAGAAAGTGTCCCGACTCGAGCTTCCAGTGGTTACTTCATTGCCAGACACCTTCAGCACCAGTTTGAGCGGCTTTTCATTGAACTCTATGGACAATAACAAAGAATCAGCCTACCACGGTAGAGCACTCCGCTCGAAACAATGCTAACGCTTTAGGCTAACACATCAAGCCTCTTAAAGCACATCCAGAATAAAATAACTCTTACGAACTATCCAGCTAGACATGCAAAATCTATATTAGAAAATCACATTAACTAAACCGTCACTGTGAATTACTACTCACTAGTCGGATGTGTTATACCAGTGTTATGTTCGCTGGTGATGCTACAGACGTGTGCTTTCGCAAATAGTGTGAAAATCCACAACCTATGCTGATCAAAATGCTGTCTAGTGCAAAGGTGTAATTATTACTTTACCTTCATGAGTATGTTTGTCAGATTTGTGCTTTTTGTGCTTCTTTCCCATTGTTTGTATTTTGATCCCCGGCGAATGGTCTTTCGGAAAGTCAAGCGGAAATACTGACATAAACCTGTTTTTTGGATAGCGCCACCTCTCGGTCAGGAATATTCATGCACCACTCCCTGTTTACCACCAGACGGAAGCAAAATCTTGGAAATAAATGTTCATTATTGAAGGTACAGTCGCAGTTAAATCAAATCACTTTTATTTTCAGTAGGCCACATGGTTTCAATGAATAGGCAACAAGTGCTGGCTGTTTTACATACACACGTAACGATAGCGTAGATTAGGATACAATTCATTGTTCTTAGATCTTAAATGCAAACGGCTAGTAATTATAGTTACCTAGTTTATTTAGCCAAAACAAATATTATGTCAGGTTGATTATGTTGTATTTATCTGTTTTTTTGGAGGTCTCCAGCAGTAGGACTCTTTGTTAAGCAGTGGAGTACAAGGCCGCACTCCACCCCTCAATGACACATTCAGATGTAGGCTATAATATCTGTGAAAAAAATGTCTTTGCCTAGCAACAATTTACTGGCTCTGACTAACATTTAGGTTCAGTGGTAGGCCTCCATTAAATCTGTTAAGGTTGACTGTGCCAGCTGAAGTCCAGATGAGGCCCATGGGCTCACAACACCAACCAACAAGGTTGTAGGATCCAAACTAGATTAAAAGCAGATCAGTTAGTCGATGCACCAAACATGCCTAATGAATGTCAGATGTCATGAAATATATTACCCAGTGTCACCAGGCCAAAGGGACCAATGGTTTCCACATAAAAGCAGCATCATGGCAGAACCATGGGAAAGAGGCCCACTCAGCAGGCTAAAGGGATGTGGCATCTTTGGTCTGTCTGCAAACACACAACAAACACACAAAGTAGCGGCATCTCTTAGCTTTTGATGCCTCATCACCACACATGTTTTACACTGGCAATGTGATGAACTGTCTTTAAGCTAGTTTATATTTTGGTAAAGAATCAATTTGACATGTTATTCATTGTTATTTTATTATTGCCATTCAAAATATATTTACAAGGTCAAGGATTTGGGTAACCTATCAAAAATAACAAATAAGCCAAATGATCTGACCTGTTTAGACATTTTGCACAGCATATGTGCACATGTGAAATTCTTTACTAGCCTTTCTGGCTTCACCTCATGTCCAAATAGAAGAGCAAATGATCTATTTCCTCTCATGTGAATCTAAGAAAAATTTGTGAACTTGCACAGCCTGCTTCGGTCATGAAAAGATATTCATTTTCACCAGAAGTTGTCAGCCTGCTTTTTCAGATATGATAGATGAAATATTTTGGGGTCATTACAACTGTCAACGCACAACTGGCTTGAAGATGTAACCAGCCATCAGCTCTAAGTCAGACAGAGACATCAAAGAAGAGAAGCCAATCATTCTGCTTCACTTTTCTCTCTCGTCTACCAGTCTGTCACGGAGGCATCTTTGAGCATCAATCACTCAGCCCAGTCAAAGTTTTATATGTGGCCACTATTTTTATCTGCAACCAAAACACTTTCTGGAAGAAGCTCTGATTACCCATTTTACTGCTAGCATGCATCTTTGTACGCTCTCATCTTTTGGTCTCCTGAAGTTGGACTGGGTTTGAATGGACATTGGAGAGTTGATGGAAAAGCAGACAGGTTCACAAAAGTCAGAGACAAATAGAACATTTCATCAAATCAACAGCTGTTTTGTGATTTGTACTGTTTGGCTATGGTGGCTCAGTGGTAGAGTTTTTGCCCACACGCCAAATGGTTGACAGTTCAATCTCAGCCATGCTCTAGAATGTGTCACACTTCACTTGGATCCAATTACTCTAATGTATTTTTCATTGAGCTTGCTTATGTTTTTGTGGGGAAATGTGTGTCTCTTGCCTTTAAGGTGCTTAATGTTTTATTCTGTTTTCACAAAGCTTCATTAAAGCAAATTGTGTTTTTATAAAGTAGGAATTCTGACATGTGCCTCTGTAGGGAAAGTGTGTTGGGGACTGTTTGCCTGTCTTTTCATGACATTCATTTAAGCAACTGTCTTCACCAAGAGTGTGTGACAGGACGGGAAGGTAGGATGAGGAAGGGAGGGGTGTGGCGAGCTTTGAGGGGTGGGGACCAGTGATTTCTGTTGATGCCAGCCTTTCTTCTGCCAGAGCCTCTGAAGACAGTGGTCCTGGGGTGGAGAAAATACACAGGGGAGCCGCGTTCAAAGACTGTGAGCTTGGTGACGATTCTGCGTCAGATCTGGAGTCGTTTGAAAAGTTCATATAAACTGAAAGATAGCCGCTGGGAAATGGTCTTTGCAAACTCAATGAGAGTTTATCATCTCGACACAGGGAGAGGTAGCGTTTGAGGTGGAAAGGCGCTGTCTGTAATCTCCCCCCTCCCCTTCAAGGCTTTATCTGGGACCCCCCCTGTACTTCCACAGAATAGAGGAGTAAACGCAGGTCTCACAAACAAGCTATGGTCACAAAACAGACATGCTTTTTTAGCTTAGAGTCCCCTAAAAAATCAACACATTTTGTAACTCACTGCTTTGGTTATGAAATGGAACAAGTCAATTCATTAAATTCATTTATTGTAGGCTTATTTTAGGCTTATTATATTATTATTGTTATTGTACAGAATCCTTTGTGAATTATGTTTATCTGTAATTGTAAATGACTGAATCATATTGATAGAAAAGTTGCTGTCAGGGTAGCACTTACCTAATAGCACAGTGGTCCCTGACTCATTTCCTGGGCCAAGGCCTTTCTATGTCCTCTCCATATTCAGCCCGCATCAATTTCAATAGGATCATCTGCCCATGCTGTATATTTGATTTTCATATTCAGTCAAAATCAATTTTTACTCTAACATCCCATTTTTATTGCACCATATCAGCAAAGCAGGTGCCTAGTTTGTGAATTTTGCTCACTAACTTCATCCTGATTTGTTAATGAAGCACTTTTTTGTGTTAATTTCTAGAGACCCAAGGACGTACAAAACAGCTCACATCATTTGGAAACTGCCTTCAGGTATTTATTATGGCTTCTGTTCCTTTCCGTGTAGGTGTGCTACTGTGTTTTTGCATTGTGTTGCAATTTTCTGCTTTCAGTGACAAATTACAGGTGTATTACAGGTGTGGTGTTCATGCCATGTCCATATGTTCAGTATAAAAGACAAAAAGTGTGGATCAACAGAGGGTGTATGAGCTTCATTCCTCCACTTTGTCTTCAGTCTGACAGATGGCGTGAATCTGTCTGGAGCCCTGGCAGTGAAGAGTGCACGGGCTTCAAAGGCCCTGTGTAATCTGCAAAAACATCAGACGCAGGAGAAAGTGACTGTCTCCCTGACGCCTGCCCCGCTAAGAGGCCAAGCAAGGCGCTAATGAAAGACAGATAAAGGGATATGGATACAAAAAATTTCAGGTATGCCTCTTGTTTGTCGCCCTTCCTTTGAAAGAATCTACAGGTAAATGCTGGCACCAGTTGCTTTGTGTTACCTAAAAACATGCTGAAAGGTATTTTCAAAGCCTTTCCCTATCTAGTGTAACTCAATCTGCACTACATGGTGATCTGTGTATGTGTTATAGTTAGTGAAGATTGCTTTCTTTCTTTTTCTCTGTGATGTTGTAGGGAGCTCTGATGTGTCAGACAAGCCCATCAGCTGCTGTGTTCATCAGAGTGTCCAACTTCTTTGTTTCCTTTATTGTACCAGATTTTGGAACATCTGTGCCTTGTTTATACCATGTTAGTGCACAACAGGTACAGTACACACAATGTCTGACAGTACTCTGAAAAACACAATATCTTTTCATGATTTAGGAAAATAGGCAAACTGGTTAGACACTGCAGGTGAATTGGAAAAAAATATATAAGATATCAATTTGAAACTCTAGTTTTTTTAGGACTACATTAATGTAAGAAAATAATTAGGTAATTTTTTTATATCTATATAAAATAAGGCATGTTATGTGTAAAAAACAGTCAAAATAGCATTTTTGACATGTCCCATTTTTGGGACAGTCAAAACTGAAACATGAAAAGAACTAGGCTTAAATTTTGTGCTTCATTTGTCATATTAGATCATTCACCTTATTTTGTGGAGTTAAAACTTTAATAAATCAGACTTAGAATCACATATAAACAAATTCTTCTGTACATCTTGTCAAGTTAAGTGCAAAACTGTAAACTTTGGTGTTTGTAGGTGCTTATAGGATGTCCCTATAGTGGGACAATGCATTTTAAGTCTTTGAAGTTACAATGTCCCATATGTGTCTATGGACACAAGCTGATAAATTGAAATATTAAAACATCTTTTGGTGCAGAGTGGACAATTTTGTTGTTTCCACAGCTTCTATGCTAAGAGAGCAAACTGACCAAAAAACAAAACATTGAGTGTACCTGTAGTGTGTTCTTTAGAAATTCTTCAGTAAGGTCCTCATATTGTGCATTGTTGGACTCAGGATTAAGAGAGTTGAACTGGTGCTTTTCTGGAGGGTAATGCTATACAGGGAAACATTACAAACAAAGCAATAGCATCTCTGTGAATACCTGCAGGTGGCGTACTCTCCTCTATAAAATTACATATAGTGTACCTTAAAATTCTCTTTGTGGTTTTATTCATGGCATACAAAATGAGAGAAAGAGACCTCAACATTAATGGCATGAGGCCTAAACTAAAATCAGTACTCAACTTGTTTAAGCTTGACATGTGCTAGCTAATGTGGGTGGCCTGTTGAACCCCGTGGACCACCTGTGCAGACGCTGTGGACAGGTTCAGTGGAGCAGGCATGGATCAGATACAGTTTAGAGACCCTATACTCTACTGTAGTATCAGGGGATTTGTTAACCGCTGCTGCAGGAAACCAGGCTCATTTTATTTCAACATGTTTTCTGACAACCCACTGAGCTGTGGAGAGCTGGTAAAGACCCTTATTTTCACTGTGCACTCAGTTATATCAGCCAAGTCTGTCTGAAGATGGGAAATTATAAGGAGGCGTTAACTTATGACTTAATGATAGCGTCTATGTTTTGCTATATGATCATTCCTTTATTATTATTTGCTAGAGCTGAAGTTGATGTCATGAATCCATTGTGCCATGTTGTGCTTCCCCAGCTGGCCTACACTTGTCTTGCTGAGATGTGCAATTAACTAACGTTTAATTACAGGCCAATCTGAAAACCAGACAGACAAAAAGCTCAAATTAAAGACACTTGTAAAATGGAAAATGAAATGCTTAACAAGCACAACATTACTGAAGAAAAGACAAGGCATGGTGCAGGATTGGAAGATTTTAAGGGAGTAATAAAAGGGAGTCTCACTGCTGATTTCACAACACATATAGCTCTGATGTAAGTGTACCATATTTTTAAGTATAATCTACTTTCAAAAGTGAGTTATAACATATTAACAATGTAATAGAAAATTCATCTTATTTTGGCAAACACCCAGACTTTAAATGAGTACCACTGAGGCGAGCTTCAAACCTCACAGGACAGACTAAATTAACAATATATTTTAGAGGTATTACACACAACCCATTAAATACTGTGAGAGCTACAATTATATGACCTTCAATTAAACCAATTTAGGAGATAAGAGATAGAGGCATCTGTGCCCCGGAAGACCTCATTCTTTGCCATGGCTTTGATGAAGCTACAATTTACAAACAGCTTTAGCAGATGTCGTAGCACTAAAAAACTAGGAGGCAACATGGAGACATTAAAATCCAACTGGGATATTGTTTAGAATTACAATTTAATAAAAATTTTGAAAAGTCCTCTAGTGCACAAAATTGACTCATGTGCGCTTTAAGCCATGCTATAATGGTGTTATCTCATCAAAAACATACCCTGACTTGTGTTTTGTTTCATTCACACATGTTCGAGTAACCCTTTTTTATTTGTCTGTCTACAACTTCAAAGCTCAAAATGCACTGCAAATGCATCCATGCTGTGATATCATGAAATGGTAGTTATCAAGTTAACAACTACCTTTTATTTTTAGTTCAGTAGAGATTAATTATTCAACGGCTGAAATCACCCAAATGTTTCTAGAGAAGGTGTACCTTGCTCGGTGTATACAGTAGAGGACCTTTTATATATCCTATATTACCACGTGACATCACAAAATGAAACGGAGTGTTCTCTGTTTGAGAGAAGTCTTCAAACTAAATGTGCAGGGTTTATGTGTTAAACAGTCTGAATGAAACAAAACAAAACTCCAAGTATGTTTCTGAAGAGAAAACATTATAACACAGATCAGAAAATAGTGTAATATGCCTAACTTTTCTGCCTGGAATGTTCCATAGTTTCAATAGCATTAATCAGTTACATGTGTTTTATTATCTGTTCAGCTGGAAAAGTATACTGACAGCATTTGTTTAAAAAAGGTTTATATTATCCAAGGGTTTCAGAGTGATGAAAAATTATTGCGATAGTGATTAACAATTCAGAGCGAAAACTATCTCAAATGTTGCCTTTAAACAGGAAGTTGAAACCCATGCTACTTGCCATTTCATCTTTATTTCAAAGTTGCCCTAAAATAAGTTGAATCTTCAAAAACTAAATAATATAGCATTAATATAGTAGTAAACTAAACCTTTGGAATATTTAAAGCAAAGTGCAAGTAAAATGAATAATATAATGTATTGGCTTTATTTCCTTAAAGCATCTGCAGTACACTTGAACCTCCCTATACAGAAGCTGGCATGACCTTGTTTCTTTGGAAGTAAAAGAGAGAGAAAGCTGGAGGGGCAGGGCATGGAACAGGCGGGTGAAGGGAGGAGGGGGCACAGTAGAAGAGGTTGGGTAACTTCAAAACCCACATCAAAAGGAATAAATAATTGTTTCTGCTGGTTTTGTTGTTGTGATACGGATCGGCGAAGCAGCGAGTGGCGAGCAGGAAGCTTTGATTTGAGGCTGCTTCCTGGAGAGGGCTCCTTCTGTCAGCAGCCCAGCGGAGAGGAGCAGGCCCCAGTGATTATGGCCCTGTTTATTTTAATCTCCCTTTAAGGCCCACAGGATACTCAGTAAGGGCCCTGCTTAAAAGCGGGGTAATGTCAGCCATTAGAGCATTCACAACTGCACTGGAGAAAGGCTGGTGGCAAGCTTTTAATATCTGGACAATTAGTATGTTAAGGGTGAAAGAAATTATATTTGCTATTATAACTAAGCATGTCACTGTCCTAAAGCTTATAATATCTCCTATGATATGTCCAGTTTTCTTTTTTCAGGAGACGCTACCAGGCTAAGTTACCGGTCAGTTCTGTGGATCTGTGGAGAGTAAGAATGCATGTTTTTTTCAATGTTTCTTTTTTTTTATTTTCTTTTTTTCTAGGTGATGTGAAAACTCAAGTAGATCAACATGGCACACTTAACTCACTTGTACTTAATAGGTCAAAGTTCATTAGGTTTAGAGAAGCAGAGATCAGGCATACACTTCAAATGTCAACCTCACCTTCAAATGAAATAAAGCCAAATATACAATTTTTGAGACATTTATTTTCAACAACAGTGTGCTTCAACAAAATGGGAGATTCATACATTATATTCAGAGAGACAAATTTAACAGTATTTGATGTAGGATTTCATTTTGGAATTTGTATTAGATGTCACATTTAAAGCAAGCATCACATGTTATATTGATGCAGTGCTATGTAGTTGCTAAAAATGTGATGTAATATGCATTCAGCCATCACTTTGATTCTGCCAGAAATCCTCCACTGGCAAAAATGTAATCCGACTTCACTGCTTAAAATACACTTATGTGAGCAACTCTTTTCAAAGAAGTTCTGTCATAGGATCTTATCGACACAAATGAGAAAAAGAGGGGGATTTGAACGTCACTGACAGTAAACAGCAGCTCCGTCCACAGTCTTGTCAATGCTACAGACATCTCTCGTTAGCAGCTGACATCAAAGCCTTATGGAGATAGATGATTTAAATATTGAATCGACTGGCGGCGGCATGCAGACGGAGCAGAACTGCATATTGCTGACACTGAACAGATGTATATTTTACCAGCCCTTTTCCTGCTAAACTGCCTAATGGCTGTGGGACACAGGGCTGAAGAAAGTAGCATTTGCCGATGTGCCGGGAGCGAGTCTACTGTATGTACCACTGACCCCGTGCACCCTCGTTGCTGCCTGATCTGGGCCTGATGCCTTGCCTTTTACATGTGCCTTTGCTCTCAGGCGGATCAGAGAGGAGGCCCCTTTATAGGCCCCAGGCAGCGGGGACACTAACAAGCTCTAATGATTTCCAGCCAGGCCTGTCTCCCTGCTCTTCCTCTGCTCACTCACACTACAGCATCCTCTCTGAACCCTCAACACAGGTCGCCCAGTCTTTTTTTAAACTGAAATGAAAATACATTGCATTATATAATTAAATGTGCCCTATGTAACATGCTGGTCTTCATGCAGATATTCTTGTTTTGCCTGGAGTGGGCCACAGAATGACATTAAACTAAGCTATCTTGCATTTATTCATTTCAATGCTGTTAAAGTTTCCAAGAGAAAAAATGCAAATGGAAAACCCTCCACATCAAAAGTCACATATAGTGTACTATTAATATGTGATTGAATATGTGAATTGTACACATTGTACGTGACGCTCATCTTTTAGAAAGATAATTTCACCTGCATCCCATGAGAATACAAGATTCAGGTTTGTAGGTTTCAATAACTTCAATCTGGGAACAGAAACATCTCAGAAACTCAAAATTTTCATGTTTTATCTTGACTTTCTGACAACTCAGACAAACTACAGTG